TGTCGGAAACCACCTACTATCGCCACCGGTAACCCGGAAGACCTGGCTTAGCCGAACGCGTTTCATAGCACAGGCTCCGACAACCCTCCCTCAGAAAACGGTCAAGCCCCACAAGCGTGCAAAAGCGCCACCTCTAGAGATAGGAAGAAATTAGCTACCTCCCCAAGTGAGTCATCAAGGAAGCCGTCTCTCGTATCGCTGCAGTCCAGACGATCCAACGGGAATGAGCAACCTGAGGAAATAGGCTGTGCCGGGAACGAATGGTCAGAAGTGAGTAGGGCGAAGGGTGTACCTAAAGCCAGATATTTTGCGCTTACAGGACAAGAGAGTGGACCCCACCATTCTATTTGACTTCCCTGTACCAACAGACTCACTCTTGGAAAAAAGGGAATGGTGTGAGTAGGAGAGGTCGGAAAGATACTCAAGAAAGTTGGGAATGGAAGCCATCGCAGCCAACCTGTGCAGGCTCTCCCGCGGCAGTAGAGCACCTCGAGACGGTCCGCTACCTCCTAGGGTATCAACAGTGGTGGCGAAACGGTCAGAGAACACACTGCTCACACTACAGGCTCCTTCCCCACAATGGTGAAACTAAACAAACCTTGGATCACCAGAGAGACGGAGAGAAGTTCGTCGCTTAGTGATCTGCACAAAGCCGCAACCATGGTGGTGCACGAAACGTCCAAACCGGTGGGTGGATCCATGAAGTGTGGCAATTACCTCCATAATATTAAAGAGTTAAGGCAGTTAGTGACATAAATGGGGCCTGGAATTCGCCCGCCAGCAGCATGAGTAGGTTACCAAGACCTACACACTTGCACAGCGTTCCCCCATGGAGGTTGTTGGCTCTATGGTTTGACCTCAAACCATCACCAACAGAAGCTCCCACACCACGGTGCCGTGTAAAAGTTCACGTAGGAGGCACCATACGATGCTGTGAAAACAAACCACGGGTTGTCGGGCTAGAAGATAGGAGGCAACCTTTGAGAACACCACAAGCGATGACAGTTAGGAAACAAGCGGCTAGTGAAGTGCCCGTAGGCACACCAAACGATTCCGCCACACCAGTAGCAGGGTGCCAAGAGGGACCGAGAAACGGAAGCCAGTCCAGTAGGGATATGCAGTCAGAATCCAATGCAGTGGCACGCCAGCCTCCAAGCAAGTCCCCATACCGCACTAAGCCCAGAACGCAACTCTCTGATATGCATCTACGGCAATGTAAGAGGTCTTAGGGGTAGACTACTGGAACTAAAAACAGTGTGCCATAATCTATGAGCAGATATAATTCTCATCACGGAGATATGGCTGTCAGCGGACGTTGTAGATGAGGGAATATCTTTGCCTAATATGACCCTGTATCGAAAGGATGGCCAGTTCAAAGAAGGCGGAGGAATTGCCGCACATATTAGCACTTACCTAACAATCAGAGAAGCGGCTGATGGTGTGTCCAGCTTACTACCAGACTCCTTATGGTGCTACTTCCCCACAAACCAAACCAAGCACCTATTTGGGGTTGTGATGGACTAAGATAATGCAGAAATGCTCAGCGCGAGATGACAGATGGGGGCTTATGGAAGCCACCCTTATCTGAGTTCATTAATCCCAATATGCGCCATTCACCCTACCTTCCCTTAGGATAATAGTAACCACCCTCCCTCAACCCTGTAAGTGTATATCAAAGCCCTCATTAGTGTGCAAATGCAAAACAAAGTCACCATCATTAAGCATTTGTAATACAGCCTAAGTTAGGCCGCGAGAAGAGTACTACATAAAATCTCAAGGGTATTTTATACGTGGAATGTAGAACTATGTAGCCCCTTACTCCTCATGCCCTCTTTAGGTACTCTAGTCTTCAGTATTGCTTCCCCAAATTCTAAGACAACTAACTTCCCTTCTCAAGCCTCCATTTTCTCTTTATCACCCGATATGCAGATTATGATGGCGGACTATACCAACACACTGAGCACCAAGATACACTTCGGACTTCCATTCAACACGTGGGAACCACCATCTTTAACCACCTGTAGACGCGAAATCACCAGGAGCAACACAATTCATCTGGCCACAACCTTTCCTAAAAACCTGGCCCAAATTGACAGAGCAACTACAAATGTCAGCATAAAATGACGTTTGCACCCAAACATGCAAGTTTTTCCATTCCTGACAACCAACGGCCTGAGAAAGAAGCTAACCGGGAGTGACCTCATATGACGCGCCGATCTTGAAGTCTTATTCAATGGTCTGATGGTGAAACCTCTTATATTCTCCACCACAATATCAAATAGCAGCTGGATAGAATGGCATCCCTAGCTTTACGTATTCAAATGACTCTGTCTACGACATTATAGATCTAAACAATTGCTACACTTTACATGACACCATACAATGCCAGACCCAAATTTGTGTCCGCCGCCATTCGCAGTTTCGCTTGCCGTCCGCAGACTGTACAAACTTATCGAGTGCGGACATATCCCCAGATTCATTTGTTTTCAACATTCGACATGCAATATACTTTAATAGATTTGCAGAACAGAGCACAGGACACGACTGCTCAGTGCCATTTCAACAAGCACTTCGTCAGCCTGTGACCATGTAGTCCCAGCTGGAGCCTTTAACACACTGGCACGAGACCAGGGATGTGAAGTAAGATACGGACGTAAATCTCTTGAGCACAAACTTCGAAATACATTTGTGGCCGCAGGGCTGATAGAGAAGGTCGGGAAAACAACAGACGGGGTCCAGATGGAAAAGGATCATCACTCGACTACGCCCTAACAGACGACGATCTTTTGGTGGACGACATCTGCGTTCAACCCCTAAGTAAAAGCTACCAGAGATTCTCTCTGATAACCAAGGAGGCACTGCCAATAGTTGAGCCAGAAGCGTCCCGCTGTTACCGAAAGCAGGCTACAATCTCATGAACAACGAATTCCTGAAGGCTGCATGACCACAAGAATGGCACTGACCATGAATAGACAAACTCCGGATACGTGTTAAAGATATTACCTGCAGCGCTATCGATAAGGGTGTTCCGAACTTAACCAGATGGCCACCTCTCAAACGGTATTGGGCAGCTCGCGCAACCCAAAGGGAGATACTGAGGAAAGAGGAGGAGCCATGGTATCAGTGACACGCATCAAGCTAAGAATCAGACTGCCATATCCACAAGGCGTTGGGCAGCTTATGTAACATAAGAATTCGTGATGACAGATATACATGCCAGGGCAACCTGGCCACACAGTTAAGTTACCATCAGAAAAATCTGTATCGGTTCATGTCAAAGGAGGAGACCGAGAAAACCCGTACAACCACAGACCAATAGCACTACTCCCCATACTTTCCAAGGCACTGGAGAGACTGGTTGCAGATGTTGTTTGGGACTACCTGAATGGAAACCACATCGTTCATCCCTACCAGCATGGGTTTAGAACCGGCGGCCATGTGCCACAAACTTGATGACTGCTTGGGATGACTGAACCACCAGATGAAACAACAAGCAGCCAGTTCACGTCATCTTCTTGGACTTGGCCAAAGCCTTTGGTAGTGTCCCACACCGCATCATGCTCTCCAAAATAGCAAAAATGGGCATCACCGAGCCACTCTTAGCATGATTTACAGTATACATACAGGACAGAGAATCCTGCACTAAAGTAAACAGAATTCGATCAACCTGAAGGAATGCAAGGACGGGAGTTTCTCAAGAAGCAATCCTTGGACCACTCCTATTTTTACTATTCATAAACAACCCCCACTAAAATCTCCTCACCTACTCTGCTATTCGCCGACGAAATCAAAATGTGGAGGGCGATAGGCAATGCAGAGGATCCTAGGAGACCCAAGACAACCTGTTGCGGCTGGAGTCCTGGTCAGCTGCAAACGGTTTAAGCTGTAATCTGGAGGAGTGCAAGGTGATGTATCTTCGCACACCAGAGGCAATGAAAATCAACTACACTCTTAACAAGCGTGCAATCGCCAAGGTATCCGCAGAGAAGGACCTGGGACTAAACTTTTTTGATACGCCGGGTACTACTGGTATTCATAAGGGAATGGCCCCATAGGCGACTTGGATTGTAAACCCCAGAGTTATTCCTCATGGTATTCAAAACCTACTTTAGACCACACCTGGAGGTGTTCAACACGATAGCTCTTCCACTACTAAAGGGAGATGCAATTTTCTCGAGTAGTTACAAAGAAGAGCAACAGAGTTGATTGTCCGGCTAACAAGTAAAACGCATGCGCAACGCCTCAGACAACTCAACTTGTTCACAATAAGCTATCGAAGAAAACGGGGTGATCTGATAACAGCCTAAAAGATGGCCCACCAGGTGGACAATATTATCGGTCCCAAACCAACAATCCCATGGAAACCCCACTCGCATATTCCACCATAAGGCAAAGACTAGAGTAGGGTCTAACTTCTCCTACAGAGTGTGTGCCTCATGGAAGGCTGTGCAGAAGGAAGTGGCCACAGCCACGTCAGTCACCTTCAAACGACTACTGGATGAGTATGTGAGCGCGAATGGCTTACCACGAACATTTGTCAGTAGCAGCTGATGATACGCTCCTCCAACCTTGTATTCCTCAACCCTTGTATCTGCAACAAGAAGCATCGCTTCTCCTCATTATTACCGGTTACACTTATCTTTCCATAAATACTTTTCACTCCTCATTTTTCTCATTCTTCACCCACCCTGTTTCTATCACTATTTAAGTAAAGCTTAACACTTACCTGCAGGTGCCTACAGCAACAGAAATTGGAAACGGTTGGTTGGTCTTATCAGCAGTTCCATTGACCCCTCTTAAACAAACCAAGCTACAATTTGCAAATAAAGCACTTTCAAGTAGACAAACACTATAAGCAGAAAAACGCAGACTTCTGCGACCACCAAAGAAGTACAGCCGACCAAAAAGAACCAAGCCTCAATACCTAGAGGCGAGAGCTCGAAAACTGCAAGTTTCCTTTACTCGCACTATTGATGTTGGATGTTGGAAAACTGAAGGCCAACTGTAAGTGCTAATGCTAAACTGAAGGTCTCTTGTTCAAGGTCATCTTTCAGTTAGCAGCTATCGCTACAGTGATCGAGACAGCTTTCTTCAAGTAAATTTTAGTAAACGCTTATCAATTCGTCAGTCTTCTAACTAGGTGAGTCGAGAAATTTCTCAACAAGCTATAGCTATGTCAATCTCGTAATTGAGATAAGGCTATAGCTATATCTTAAAATTTTTGACCATAGTGTAAGCACGTTTCTTTGTCTTATTCAGCCTCAACATACTGATTTCGTAAAAAATTAGTTATTGGGTGTATTTCCAAGCTTTAGTTCACCCAACACCAATGCATAATTAGGTGTTCACTGAGTCGATTTACAGTAGGCTGACATAGCAATTTCAACAGTCACGACTTAGTTATGGACCTTGAAAGTTATGATTTGACTTTAATCTACCTACCCCAATTGGTACCTGTTTCGGTGGATATTGAACGTCCAAAGCCGTCCGAACTGGACTACCTTTTACCAGTGACCACCTGGTGGTAGAAAATGTGCAGGTTCAAACACCCCTCCTCGGCAGCAGCGATCTCGGCGCAGTAGCGTTCGATCTAGTACCCAATAAACAACTGTCATGGGAGGATCTCGCCCTTGTCTTTGCTACAGCAAGGCGAACTACGTGGCGATGAACCAATACCTGTCGACAGCACCATGGCCTCAGGAGTGGAGCAACCTGTCGAGTCATCAACATTGGGAACTAGTCAAAGATATCATCAAGAGGGCTGTCTCTGAAAACGTCCCAGTAACCACAGCAATACCGCGGAAGCGAACCTCACGGCCGAAACGAGGCACTGAACGCCTTTTGAAAGCCAAGAGGAAAGCGTGGCACACGTGGAGGATATCCAGAAAAGAGTCTGACCACACCGTGTATACTACCCTAAGAAATCGATATGACATCAGAGTGAGGAGAGATAGGAGGTCATTCTAGACGAACCTTGCCCAGAAGCTTGAGGCAAACTCCCAAAACCTATATCGGTTTATGGCAGGCAGAAAATCCACCAGCCAGAGGGCTTGCGTCCTGAAAGGCCTAGATGGAGAGAACCTCTCCGGACTGGAGATCACCGAAGCCTTTAGCGCCACCTTCGATACGCAACTGAATATGTCTCTATGGAACCAAAATTACTAGCTGTACGACCAACATTCAGCACCACCAGATGCAGTAGAGTTACCTGAAATTAAGGTAACTCCTGCCATGGTCCTCGAAAGACTATCAAAGCTTTGCGCGGGGAAATCACCAGAGTGTGATGAAATCTAGTCGGCTGTGTTGAGACAATGCGCGGGTGCCTTATGCGGTCCGCTGTGTAACTTGTTTCAACACTCCTTAGACAGTCACATGCTTCCACGAGAGTGGAGAAGTGCTATTCTGTCCCCAATCTTCAAAGGTGGAGACAGACAGAGCCCAAAATGCTACCGACCCATAGCCCTCCTACCAGTGGTGTCAAAAGTAACGGAGAACCTCGTAGGAGACCATGTCAAGAAGCACTTAGAAAAGAGTGGAGCACTTAGTGATACTCAACATGGTTTCAGAAAGGGTAGGTTCTGTGCCACAAACATTCTGGCGGCAGGTGATGAGTGGACGCCATACTGGGACCTCCAAATTCCCGTCCGTGTTATTCTTCTGGATTTTGCTAAGGGCTCCTCACAGTCCCACACACTGTTCTTATTCACAAAGTAGAAAGGTTGGGCATCAAGGGACAAGTGCTTTCATGGTTGTTGGACTATCTAGACGGTGGACAGTTCTGCATAAAAGCCAACAGAGTTTGCTCAACTTGGAGGGCATCATCATCTGGTGTACCACAGGGAGCGATTCTGGGTCCGCTGCTATTCCTTCTTTTTGTGAACGACCTCCCACTGAATCTCAGCTCTCCAATTCCACTTTACGCTGATGATGTTAAGCTATGGAGAGCTGTGACGTCAGAAACAGAATCAAGTGCACTGCAGAGTGATCTCAGATTACTTGCAGAGTGGGTGGATATTAATGGACTTGCATTTAACCTAGATAAGTGTCGAGCCATGTTTCCCCGCACCACAGACTCTCAGGAGGTATCCTATTCTCTCTGTGGAACACAACTCTCCCACAACACCACAGAGAAAGACCCAGGACTAATACTAACTGATAAACTAGACACTAGCCCCAATTATCCAGGAGATGCCTCCAGAGCCTACGCAGTACTGCACTTCATGCGCAGAAGGTTGGGTGCCCTGACCCCGGAACTCTTTTTGAAGCTGCATAAGACCTATATACGACCCCACCTAGATGTACACAACGTCATTGCACCACCATGTCTGAAAAGAGACGTGAACCTTCTAAAGAAAGTCCAAAGGAGAGCTACAAAGGGTGTCGTGGGAATGAGGCAAAAACGATATCAGGACAGGCTAAAGGATTTAGGGCTCTACTCCCTAAGCTACCGTAGATCACGTGGCGACTTGATAACAGCTTACAAAATACTCAGTAACCCAAGTCATCCGAACCGTGGAATCCTACCAAACGGCCACTATGGCAATCCTCGTGGTATCCCGAGGAGAATCGCTCACCAAAGAGCGAAAACCCGTGTGCGATCACACTTCTTCTCTCTGCGGGTTTGCGGCCACTGTAACTCGTTGCCTGCCGAGACTGCTACTGCTCCGTCTGTTGACAGCTTCAAGAAGAGGTTAGACAGTTGCTCAGTGACGCACGGTTTGCGCTCACCCGACTGGGATGTAGACTAGGCTGACGGCCTACTATCACTATCACTTGGAACTTGGCTCAACCTTACACCTTCCTATGGACGTCCCCTCCAGTTACAGTCTCCTACTAAAAGAATTACTTTATTCCCATTGGTCCTATCATGTTATTTATTATTCTTCCTTCTGACTTTACGTTCTCAAACTTTAACAAAGCTCTCCCCATAACCTATTCCCCATAAACCTACCAATGTTTCTTCTTTCGTGCCGTTTCCTCTTTCCCAATCTTTTTTCTTTCTTCCTTTCTCCCCTTTCTTTTTCTGTTTTGTCTCTCTCTGCACTTACTCTCCCTTGATTTCTCTGCACATATTTTTCATCCTTTTACAACCAGTCCGACCAATTGTCTGCTGGCACGACACTTGAGGAACCCATCTGCACCACAGCCCTCGGAAGAAAAAACAAACAAACAACACTCCCTACAGACTTAACCAACACCTAACCGTCCATCGGGCTAGCCAGAGCTACAGCAGTCAAGTAGGTAGACCTACTGCATTGGAATCCACCAAAGACCTGGAACCGTTCCGCAAGACGTAGAAGTGAGCGCGAAGAAGTCAATTAGTTTACACTAGCTCGTTAAAAGATATTGGATATTAGAAACTATTCATAGGGTGAACCTGTTAGGTCTTCGGTCCCCTATAGATTGCTCTCATGAGTTATATCTTCAGCAGACGTCATTCATTAACAAAAGTGGCTGATAATCAGCTTCCAAAGATTCGGTTACCTAGGTAACAGAAAGATACTATGGTATATATATATATATATATATATATATATATATATATATATATATATATATATATATATATTCCTTTCTCCAAATTCATGGATAACAATAGGCAACTACTTCATAACTTGCACCGCATTATTCTTGTCTCTGTACTTCATAAAGTTTTAGCGAAAGCGACTGAAAATAAGTTGCTTAGTAATATACGAGAAAATAGTCTAAGAGTAACTAGATTCTCGAGTAAGCTTAGTTAAACGTAAATTATTTCTTTTATCGATTAATGCCCTCTCATGAAGCATTCGTGGTTTGATTTTAATGGAAGACAAACAGTTAAATAGTCTATTGATAAGCTGAATCTAGGTGTTATATGGCGTGGTATTGTTGAATGTTGCTTTCAGGAATAATGTGATTGAACAAATAATAGTGCTCGATGTATGACCATTACCTCTTATGATTTTGAAATGGTAAAGAATATTTGTAGCTTAGGTGAATAATCTTCGTTGTATTGTGTTCTCTGAGCTGGGTTAGTTTGTATTGATGATGTCGTCTAGAAAGACTATGAAAGCTCCACGAATACACAACCTAGCTTAGAGAGCATAATACAACCAAGATGATCATTACCTAAACTTAAAAAAATGATCAAGAAGACTGAACGATGCATGATAATGTATGATTTCACCGGTCATATCATGAATAGCATCATTCTCCAGATAAAACTGTTGTTTACATACAATGAATGCGACTCAAATTATATTAGTATAACTGTAAATATGCAATTAATTAAGATAGAGCATGAGGGTGAAAAGACAGCCAATGACTCGCTATCTATGTAAGGTTATCTTGCGATTTACCATATCGTGGTTAAGCTTCTGAATCGTAAGGGATGTGATCTTCAAAGAACTTTAGTAGGCATTTTTGCGATAATTCAAGTTACTTACTCTTCACAACAGCGCTGTCTGTCTTGGTAAAAGATATCCGTTTCATGGAAACTGGATTTAGGCATTATATACTTTAGTGATAGTGACATACCTTACAAAACTGTGTCCTACCACATTATTTGAGAAATTTAACGATATGATTTGCCTAACTCATAAAATTGTAACGCTTGCGTTGCATTAAAAATCCTCAGTTGGACATATGAAACCAAAGATGAAGTGAACGACAATAAGTGTTTCTTCCCAATTAGATCTTCGTCATCGGCTGTACACTAATATTATAGGCTTCACAATTAGTAACAGTATACCATTTAGTAGTCGTTTGTTAATGCACCAAAATATAAATATTTTACCGAATTCCTGATGGTATACATGCATGAAACCAAGAGTAAAACATGAGTTACAAAAGTTTCTAGATTCCAATTTATCATCAATGAATATTCAACTCTGAGATTTTGTCCTGCCTTTTACATTCAACCATTCTTATGTGCAGGATATTAAGACAGACCTTTTTAATTTGGCGTGTTCTAATTAACTGCTCATGTTGAACTAATCATGTAAAACATACAATTGAACGAGTTCGTTGTGGAATAACTGAACACTATTCATTGCATCTGAGTAAATAAAAGACAAAAACAATAAAAAGTTTAGTACTTGGATATGTAGTGGATACTGGTCAAAAAGTGAATGGAATTAATACTTCTAGTTTTCTACTATT